ATTGAGTTTCATACACTATATAGGTAATAAATTGTACCATTGAACATTGGTAGGAATAATTAATATAATACGTTAAGTGCGGAACGACCCACGGGTGGGTGGCAGGGTCTTTTTTCAGGATAAATTCCGCGATTTAGTTTTTTTCAATTGCGTTTGTCGACAAAAATTTATGATGGCAGTACTGCCTCATTAAAGTATAAAATATACGAAAAAAGGAAAATTTAATTTTTGCACCTGAACCTACAAATTTGCTAGTGTATTTTGAATTATAGGCCTTTTTAGCAGCGGACTTGGCCGTTTTTAGGCCAGCTGCCAGCGCTGTGGGTCGTTGCCGCACTTAACGTGATAATCTATCTATATTGAGACCATAATACAATCCCAGACATGATTGTTCAGGTACGAACTTTGCACACATTTTCTTAAACTGCTAATAAATTTACAAGGTTCGATAAAAGCTTTTCACAAATCGTTGGTAAAGATTCATCTCTGACGACGATCATGAAATTATATTTTAAAAAGGAAGCTATGCATTTAAAAGCGAAAAGCGCATGAGACAGAGATTGATTTAACCCGTCGCAGTTCAAAAACTTATTTGAGAAGTCATTTAAAATTATATAAAAACGTACAAGTTTGTCAAACATGAGAATCCTATCCTCAATCAAGAAATAGTCAAGTAAAATCATTAAATTATCATACCTACATAACAAATTCACGCATGATAACATTACTAAAAGATTCCAAAGTCAAATTTAAAATAAATTTAAAATACAATCTCGGCATTCTCGAGACAGTATTGTCTCTGAGTATTGGACAGTATCAGCCGATCTCTGGGTATTGGACAGTATCAGCCGATCTCTGAGTATTGGACAGTATCAGCCAATCTCTGAGTATTGGACAGTATCAGCCGATCTCTGAGTATTGGACAGTATCAGCCGATCTCTGAGTATTGGACAGTATCAGCCGATCTCTGAGTATTGGACAGTATCAGAAATGAAATTTGTGATAAATTAGATCTTAAAGTTTGCCGTATTTTGGACGCCATTACTGAAAACTAAGTTGTTTTCAATGGTAAAACTCAATGATATGAGCAGCAGTCCATGGTAGAACTCAACTGTAGGAGTTGAAGTCTATGGTAGAACTCAATTGTAGGAGTTGAAATCCATGGTAGCACTCAATTGTAGGAGGTGCAATATTTTGTAGAACACAATGGCAACAGTTGTTCCATGGTGTAGCAGATGCGTAACACGATGCTAGTAACGCAGCAGCAGACGCGTATATCAGTACGCAGTGTACGGGGCTGAAGACGTTCGACTGCGATCCATGGATTACAAGTAAGTCGACTCGCCTGCAATGGACCGAAGAAAGTTTAAAATCGGAAATGTATACAAAGTAAATTTCTAAGTCATTTAGTTTTTTCCTCAGAAATCTCGGTGTTGCAAAATTGACAGTGCAAAATTTTACATAAATCCTAGCTAAAATTTACCGTATTGAATTTAATCCAATATATACCGCATAAAAGTTTTAGGGCACAACTATATGATCCATTCGGAAAGTAACTTGTTGCAGTTGAAAGCATCATTCAATCCAGTAGAATTAATTTGATTAAACGATTATTCTAAGAATCAGCTTGTAACTCAATTTACTTTAAATTGAAACACATTTATTTGCTATCACATGTGTTTCCACATTTCTACGAGAACTCTTTACTTGCCTCCATTTTATAAAACATTTCATCTCGCCATACAAGTCTGAGGAAGGATAACAGCTATGACAATACATGGGACATGTGTCCAAATACCAATACTTTCTTGCATACGCTTTTTGCTTGGTCAAAGTGAGTCAGAATGACCCGCAAAAATTATGAAGTGCATCGCTATTTGGACAAAGTCTCACTTATTTCTCCGAGTATACAGTACAGTGATTCAATTATGTGTAATTCCTTACATAACCCACCATGTTGCTGCAACACTGTAAGATCAGGATAAATAAAACAAAGGGTAAACAATTTAAATTCTATTGTCGACATTATGAATGTTCACACGCACACAGAGTCAGATGGGCGCGTAGAGTTGGCCCTCGAAACATCTTAATAAAATTTAAACTTTCTATCAGGCCTATCGATTTCTTTAACAAACCAAATAATTTTTAACCCACGACGTTCAATGCCTAAATATAAATTTTTAAATTTGTAAAGAAAGAAACAAAGAAGCAAAATATTGTAATTCGTAAACAATGAGGAGTGAGAAACACGCCTCATGCAGCGGGGAAAAATGAACGGTAAATATTCTTGACCAAGTGATAAATATTCTTGACCAAGTGATAAATATTCTTGACCAAGTGATAAATATTCTTGACCAAGTGATAAATATTCTTGACCAAGTGATAAACATTCTTGACCAAGTGATATGAAAATCATAGCTTTATCGATGCGAATCTCCAGAGCCGCAGAGGTGGTCTCGTACATTCGTAATGTTCTAGTGAACAATTTCTTATGTGTAATTACAAGTGTAATTACCTACACTGACGTACAGCGTCGAAAAGAGGTAGTTCTTTTGCCGTTCTTTCCCTAAATTCGACCATTACAACACAAGCGGTAAACCAGACCAGCCTCACTGGGCAAACAACGATGAATCGAAATAAACTTCACTTTCAAACGTTCAATCAACGTTGATTCAACATCAGATCACAAGTGGTACGTACCTACGCAAAACGTTCATTTGAAATTCATTCTAATATGACAACACAGAAGCTAAACCATCTCAACATAAGACAAACTTCTAGTGGATATTCATTCAAGTATGTTGAGTCAACCACGAAATGGAATCGACATAACCACTCCAACGCTGTACGAAGGCAGGCCTCAACTTAACTTAAACTTGCCACCGGTAGTCGAAAACCCGCTAAAAACCCAACTGAAATCGAGGCTGGGAACAATATTATCAAAATTTTCAAGTCCCAACTGAAATCGAGGCTGGGAACAATTCTTATCAAAATTTTAAAGTTCCACGACTAAATTTGGGTGCAGGACTGTGAAGCTTCGTGCATACCGAAGCTTTGTTAGTCTCCCGGCGTATACATTAGCTCCCTGAAAAATAGTACGCAAATTACGCAAGTAGTACAAGTTGTGGTACGCAAATTGCGCAAGTAGTACGCAAATTGCGCAAGTAGTACGCAAATTGCGCAAGCAGTACGCAAATTGCGCAAGTCGTGCGTAAATTACGCAAGTAGTACAAGTTGTACGCAAATTGCGCAAGTAGTACGCAAATTGCGCAACTCGTGCGTAAATTTAGATGAGTCAGAGACTTGATGCAGATCTCGGCACGCAAGAGTGAAACGTCTTTATCCCCGAATAATAAAATCGTCAATTGCAGATTTCTAAGGAGATTGCACGATAATAATTAATGCAATGAAAATATCATTTATTGAAGAACTAATAATTCGTTAATCTATTTATGAACATGGTTATTGAGTGATGGTCACACGCGATCTAAATACCAATTGTAGATTTTACTTTGAAAGAATAAGAAATGCTATGACGTGTTGCCGACAATTACATTCCTTAATAAAGATGAACTTGAACGACAAACAAACTGTGCTACCTCGACACGACGTTTATAAACAACCTCGACATTTACTCTATGTTAACGTGAAATATTAAAGCTTAACTCAACACGAATTTCACTTTGCAGTTACAGTGGATTAGATTACGCAGAACTTGACAATTTAAGCTATAGCTAACATTAGGATTTGTATTCTTATTCAGCGTAAAGGAGCGTACTCACAACTTATATACATCCTCAAGGACAACGACTCAAATACTTAGTATCCTTAGTACTTAGTATCCTAGTCGTGTAAAGCAACTGTGTAAAACAGCCAAGCAAGAACAGCAAACAAAAAATTATTTTATGACATCATCATTGAATACCTTAAGTGTTAGCGACATCAAATTCTAGCACGCGTGACGGAACAAACCTTCGATCGAGGCTTAATAGTTAACTACACGCGACGACTAATTGACGAAATTGACACAAGTCACATTATAAAATTAAACTGTCGAGCGTTCAGGGTATCGTATCCTAGTGATGATACTTCCAGAATATTTTTACTATTCCTTCAACATATTTTTTATATACTATGCTCGTATATAAAACACCTTCACCTTCGATCGAGGCTCAGCTAACTACACGCGACTAACTGACGAAATTGATACAAGTCACATTATAAAATTAAACTGTCGAGCGTTCAGGGTATCGTATCCTAGTGATGATACTTCCAGAATATTTTTACTGTTCCGTCGACATATTTTTTACAAACTATGCTCGTCTCAGGGAATATTTTCATTATTCCCCCGACATATTTTTTACATACTACGCTCGCTTCAGGTATCTTTGTCAAAATAAGTAAGGAACACGGCACTCAACGCCCAACCGGGCGCGTTGCGAGCAAATAACGTCTTCTCTTCAATTAATGGTCCAAAGCTAAAAAATCAACGAATTTCTAGTCGAGTCGCTATAATCAGTAAATGTGATAAAAAGAAAATGACCAGACAACAATGAAAGCAAAACAGACGCTACCGCAGCGAGACCAAAGGCTGAGCAAATCCATGAGACATTGAATATTGTAATTCGTACTGATGAGACTACGCGTGAAAATCCTGGCCAAAGACGTAGAGACGATACAAATCCATGAGACATCGAATATTGTAATTCGTAATGATGAGACTACGCGTGAAAATCCTGGCCAAAGACGTAGAGATGATACGAAGGCTTTTAGCCTCGACATAGAACAGTGGAATTCAGAATCCACGCTTGGATTCGTGTCGGCAGCAATAACATTACACTGTTAGAAAAATGACCGTTTACGGTAATACCGGCGTTTCAGTGGCCGGTCGGCACGTGAAAAGAAACACCGTTTCACCGTTTTTATTCCAATTTAACACCAGAAATCCGTAAAACATCTGATAAAAACGGCGAAACAGTTTATTTTCACGGGGCGACCGGCCACTAGGATGCCGGTGGGACCGTTTTTTCACCGTTTTTTCTAACATTAGGGATAACCCGGCTGTAAACGATATGAAGGTATCACGAGATCACGGATTAAGCATATATATGAACACGAACGAGTAAAGATTTCTCTTACAATACTGGAACAAATAATCGCACCGTAGAAACTACAAGGCTTTCACAATATATCGAAATTTCAACAAACGCAAAACAAACGTTAACATACCAAAGAAGCAACGTAACCAGGGGAACAAATTACCACTTTCTCCATCAAATTATGGAAACTTGCCAAAACATTAGGGTTAAAATTTAAGTAATAATAGACTTATTATTTTATCAACTTGGCAGAGAATATTAACAACGAACAGGAACACAACGTTGGCGCAGCAAGCTTATATCACTTTAATGAAGGACACAAGAACTAATTGTACGTATAAATCGAAACTTCCAAGCAGCAGCAGCAGCAAAACGAAACGAATTGTAAAATGAGTTCGAGTTAACGCTAAAAAAATGGTCTAACCGGCGTATAGTGGTCGGTTGTCCATAGAAATAAAGCCATGTTACCGGTATTTCATTTTTTTTTCAGCTAACAAATGAAGCAAAAATTGCACTCGCAAAAAAATCGGCATCACGGTTTAATTACATGGGTCTGCTGGCCACTAAAACGCCGGATAATCCATTTTTCTGCCGTTATTTTGTACAGTGTGGAGTAAACGCGATACATTAAGCACTGGATTAACCTGAAACAGATCCACTGTTCATTATAATTACTTCAATTCTGTTTACAAATTAAACCTCTATTTAAATTCCTAAAATTAAATAAGCCAATTTCAATTGAACCGTGGGAACAAAGGAATTTAATTCCTATCGTAGTGAGAGTTGATTGCTTTGCTTTGACGAGTGTTTAGCATCAAGAAGACTCGTGCGTGGTCGTCACATTAAAAACGATTGACGCGCCGTATAATTTAATAATGCAGCCAACCCATAATTTAAAAACGCCAATGCAACATTGCATCCTCAGGTGCTATCAATAAATCAAGTACAATGAATAATCATCGATACAAGTTCAGACTAACGCCCCGTTGTTCATCACACAGATCAAAAACCAACATAAATTTAACGACAAACTGAGAAAAATCTAGTGCGACGCTCTCACGCCTCTAAGGCGACCCTGCACGATACACCTCAAGAGCGACTCGATCTGACATATACGTCTAGAGCGACCATGACACAACTCTCGGACGACCGTGACACAACTCTAGGGCGACCGTGACACAACTCTAGGGCGACCGTGACACAGCTATAGGGCGACCGTGATACAACTCTAGGGCGACCGTGACACAACTCTAGGGCGACCATGACACAACTCTAGGGCGACCATGACACAACTCTAGGGCGACCGTGACACAACTCTAGGGCGACCGTGACACAACTCTAGGGCGACCGTCAGCACTCCACCACATCTAACATTGAGGGAAGAAAGGAGCGTTAGCACTGCACGCGTCCCGCAAGAGTGCCCCGGGTTTTATGATGCTATAGTTACGATGTAAAGCCAGGTTTGTTTACGACGCAAGTACAAGTCTCTCTTATAGTTATCCCTGACTAAATAGGATGGCCCTGCCAGTTCATCAATAAGCGTCAGCGCTAGTACGTAAAGTAATTGTTTTAATCTATGTATATAGAGGCTGGCAACTAATTTCAAGAGATCACAAAACCGCCCTCAGTGCCAATGGGAACAAACAAACGCAATAGAACAAAACTAGAGCATACTTGGCAATTATTGTTTCTAGGTACAATTACCGCTTTGGCATCAATTATATCGAGAAGTTTAGCCAAATTTGAACTTATAGGTAACGCTGAGTTTTCAAACGAGAGCGATATTTGCATTGATTTCAGTAGAAAACTTGACGGCAAATGTAGACAAAGCACATTGATACAACGTCCCTGACGTTTGCAAGCATGGCAGACGCAAGCTGACGTTACGTTGACGTTCGCAAGCCTATAAAACGCAAGCCGACGTTAAGTTAACCTTCGCAATAGTGGCATATGCTCGTTGGCGTTACTTTAAAATTTGTAAGCACGGCAGACGCACGCTGAGGTTACGATAGCGTTAGCAAGCACGACCACTGCAATAGAAAATTTCCAAGACTTCGTAAAGAATCAAGGATGATCGTGCGGTGTGGATATTAATGGTTCCTTGGTTATTCACAGAAATGAGCGATTATCAAGGCTCTTATATTTCAACAGCACACACGCGAGCGTAAGAAGAAGCTACTATCTGTTTGATCACAAAGAAATAGGTGTGAGAACCTTGACAACAAATGTCACGCTTGCCTTATTGTACATCTAACACTGTCGTCCAAAAATATACCAGCTCTAACTATGAAGCAGAATTGTAGCATTAGAAGAAATATATGTACCACTACATTTACTAATTACTAACATCAAGAAACGTACAACACGAATTACTATGTACAGAAGCACCTCTAAGTAAATTATTATTAGTTTTATTTCACATCGATGAGTGAAACAAAAAACGCACAAGCAGTAAGAGAAATTTCAGTTTTATAATTTACACATAAAATCTGTTCGAATTGGAGCGTTTGCGATGTTGCGAGTTTTTGCTGTTGCCATTGGCAGTCGAGGGGAGATTTTCCAAGGTCTCCCTGGGTTGCATTTTACCGAAAAAGTTCTCATCCTGCGCAGGATCGATGGGAACCGAGGATCGATTCGACCGATTCATGGGGGGATCCCCAATTGTGATGTGTGTCACGAGGGAGCCCATGCCCCCGTCCCGCACTATAGGTACGTCACTCGTAAAGCTCGGGTCAGCGAATATAGTGCCTGCCGACGGCGATATGAAAGAACTTGAATGTTCAGAGTTGACGTGCACGCTGATCTTGGGGTGGCTCTCTCTCGTCTGGGAGAAGGATCGTATGCGTCGTTCTTTCGACGGCTTCTTGCCAGGATTGGAGTAGCCGCGCGCTCGGTAGCCGATGCTTTCCCGACCTTCCAGTCCTTTTTGAGAGAAAACCGCTGACAAATTAGCAGGTATCAGAGGAGGTTTGTTGTCAAAATGTGAGCGCTTGGTCACGTCTGGTCTGGCGTTGTACGATGATTCACGAGCCAGGTTTTCTGATGGTGGAACTGAATGTAAATTACCGTGGCTTCTTGGATGCACGCGACGACTTTGCTGAAGCTTATCGAGTTTTTGGCTGAGAATGCGCGTAGTTTTATTTTGATTATCATACGCTGACGGCTGTTGCTGCTTTTGCTGCTTCTGCTGAAGGTATTGTTGAATGAATCCTTGTTGAGTATGCGGCGGTGGGTAAGATTGACTGCAGGTTAGAAAATCCATCGAATTTTCAGTGAGACAAGGTTCAAAATTCACCTCGCACAGGTCAACAGCCGTTGGATTATCGGCTACTTCAGTGACACTATGAGTTGTATCAGAGTCTTGTATGGCGTGGTCATTCCAAACGTCAACGCCACTTGGAACGTGAAGTGTGCAAGCTGTGGAACCATTGTCCTCGCATACTGGCTGCGTGGCGCTAACACCAGAATACTCAACCGTGCAAGTGTTATTACCTTCTGAACATAACGAAGATTGAGTGCGGACGTCGTGATAAGAATGAGGTAGAGTAGAGACAGGCGAGGAAACCACAGGGATAGAATCGAAGTCCCCAAGAGAATTAGGGCCAGAGTCGAGGAGCAGGTTTGAAGAAGTTAAATCGAGTTCGTCTAGATTGTAAGGGTCAGTCTGAGCGAGGCTGGAGATTGTGCTTGTAATGTCAGACCGGTTGTCGTCAGGAGAGACGGGAAGCGACGCTAAGTCACGAGTCGAGTCATCAAAAAGTTCATCAGCCACATCGTTGAAAGCAGACATTTTCTTGTCCAGTTTAGGACTGGAACGGAAAGGCCTCTGATCGAACTTTTCGTGTCGGACATTTTGTTGTGCGGGATAGTTTTGTTGCCATTCTCCAGCGTATTGGTCAATTGCATAGTGAGTTCGTTCAGTGAGGTGTTTCTCGCGATCGTATTCTTTAGCTGTCGTCTTGTACGATAGTCGTTGCCCGTGGCTAGCCTCGTGCATATGTGAAGAGTGGAACTGTTGCTGGCGGTGGGACACAGGTAGGCCTTGTTTATGGTCCCTGGCCCGACCCCAGATGGGACACGAGTCCTTGTCTCGGTCCCAGTTGGGGGGCGCTTTTCGAGGGGACAAAGCAGGTGCCCTCATGTCACAAGCAACGTCATAGATACCAGCCCTCGCCAGCCTGCCCTCGCATCGAGCCGAGACTGAAATAAAGAGGAGACGAGAGGCCAGTGAGAGGAAAGCCCAGTGAAGGGTGCTGCTTATAACTACAGAGTATAGACAACTGCTCTAAAATCAGATCAAACTTAATCCATTAGGGGGGCTAGGATAAATCTTTGCAGATGAACTTAACGTGCAAACATAAGAGGAGGAATGACAAAGATAGAGGGAAGATTTTAAGTGCATAAAGTGTGAGTGTGATCAGCATTAACGACAAAGAGATATAAAGAAATAAAGCTTGCATGTAAAGAGCGATTATACTGAAATTCGGTACAGAAATATATTGTAAGTAGCGATATTTAGATGAAGTACAGATTTACGCAGAGGGTCCATCAACTACTATATATATAGGAGTAAATGTAACTGAGACTGAGCACTCGAAGTCTTTGATTATGTCACCAACTTCAGATTTTGCCAACCAGTTATTACTATGGCAACAAATTTAAATGTCAACCAATTTATACTATAGCAACAAATGCTCCGAAGAGGCAGTGGGTCGTGACAATAGCCATCGAAAGAAACTATTAACCACGACCAAAAACTCATAGCTATAAATTTTATTTATTTACAGTAAATTAGGAGTTTGACGATTTTTTGGCATTATTCTTTGTTCTGTGACTGTTTACATGATTTCATAATAGACTGAAAAAAAATTAAATCACAACAAAACATTACGCTATTGTAAAATATAAAGATTTCACAATGGGTAAATTAGAAATATCGGTACACGCTTAATCGGCACAATAGAAAGATAACGAGTTAACCCAATAAATAATCCAAGACTCGAGCATATAGAACAAACGTAGCACTGAAACCCCCTTTTGCCGGGCAAAACTGGGTCACACAGGTGCAAAACTGGGTCACACAGGTGCAAAGGCGCATCGCTATTGAAACAAAGCCTCACTAATTTTCCTGAGTGTACTAATTATCATCTTGTTGCGATGGTACAAACAACAAAGTTGTTCACCAACTCGCGTTATCCACTTTGGTACGGTAAAAAAATTAATAAGCAGCTAAATTATTATTTTTAATTATAACAAACAGAATAGCACTGCAGAAATTTCTTTGGTCAACATAAAGTGAATAAAAGGTAAACATAAACAAAGTATCATGCAACACAAAAATTGTATCGCGTTGTCCACCTTCGTACGGTAAACAATTAAGCAGCTAAATATATTTTTTATAAAAATTAAAACAAACAGAATAGCACTGCAGAAATTTCTTTGGTCAACATAAAATTAATAAACGGTTAAGATAAACAAAGTATCGTGCAACACAAAAATTGTATCGCGTTGTCCACCTTCGTACGGTAAAAAAATTAAGTTGCTAAATATATTTTTTATAAAAATTAAAACAAATAGAATAGCGCTGCAGAAATTTCTTTGGTCAACATAAAATTAATAAAAGGTAAAGATAAACAAAGTATCGTGCAACACAAAAATTGTATCGCGTTGTCAACCTTCGTACAGTAAAAAAATTAAGCTGCTAAATATATTTTTTTATAAAATTATAACAAACAGAATAGCACTACAGAAATTTATTTGGTCAACATAAAGTTAATAAACGGTTAAGATAAACAAAGTATCATGCAACACAAAAATTATACGAAGAACTTCATAGTTTACTTGAAATTCGTCTCGCCAATTTGAGCCTCGTACATCGTAAATGTTAAATTAGGCATATTGCCTAACTTCATCTCACGGATATTTAATGGTGAACATTTCAATACAATTCAATTGCAGGGAAACGTGCAGTGAATACAAGAAAATTAGAAACGTTGAAATTACTGTTATAAATAAATAGCAACAGAAACGTTAATGAGGTTTTAAATTGCAAAGCAAGCAGCAACGAAACTGAGTCAATAATAAAACCAGGTTAAAACACCGAAAATATGAAAAAATTTAATTAAAAAACTAAATTAATTACTTAAATTATTCAATGCGTTGGTTGCAATGCAAGGATGGGGGCAAAAATTTCATAAAGACTGTTAACATGTTGACTACGATTGCTTCATCTTGTACTATTATTTCATTTTTTGTACTTTTTTTTAAGCAGGGTTGCCAGACGGTCATTTTTTCCGGACAAATTCCGTGATTTAGTTTTTTTAAATTGCGTTGGCCGGCTAAAATTTATGATAGGGGTACTTCCTAATTAAATTGTAAATACTGCAAAAAGAAAATAAATGGAATTTTTATGGCGGAACCTACAAATAAACTAGTATATATTGAGTTATCGGCCTTTTTTGGCCTTTTTTGTTCTCGGATTTGGCCGATTTTAGGCAACCTGAATTATGTACCACTACGTCCTGGAGAAATACATTTCGTGGTACGCATATGTACCACTTCGGAGTCAACGTATTAAACGAAACAGGCACAACAGAGGGGTTACCATTTTTAGCGCATTTTCGCATTTATGGAAAAAATGCACTATTGTGCTCGCCATGTCCGTCTGTCTGTCCGTCCGTGACTTCACGTTTTCGTCGACGAGAAAATGCGCTCTCTGTCACGCACTGCAGTGAGTACTGAGTTATATTTTTTAAGGTTTGTTTCGGGCACCGCCCACGGTCACGCTGATGCCCCACCTCCAACGTCTACGCCCTTACTTCCAAACGACCTCAAGAAAACTTTGCAACCGTATCGAGGTTTCGAACCCGCGACCTCCCTTCGATTTCAATCCTCAACGATAAACAATTACGTCAAACGTGTTCTCACGCGGACGAGTTCTCGGAATATCATTCATAATTCATTTATCGTTCATCAGTAATAGTTGGTTTGTACGATTAAGATTTTGCGATATTTTCCAATTCCCTCGCAGTGGATTATTCTCGTTTTATTCTTTGCCTTAGCGAATGGCAATCAAAATTGACTATTGTGTTAATGTTTCAAGTTTAAAATAGAAAACATTTAATTTCGTAACATATATATAAACTACTTGTGAACACACAATTGCGGGACAAACAGGAGCAATATTGCAGGAAAAACACAACCAAAAGTGCCATTTACATAAAAAAATAATTACTAATAAAATAACATTTAAGGCAACAAACAAATGCTCCTATCCATCATCCTAATACTCCTTGAGACTCGACAACACAACGTTAGTAGAGCACAGAAATGTGTTAAGGTTGAAGGTTAAATAAGGAACAAAAACACTCGGGAACAGCGTTAATGCTACTAGCCTCGCTCAGAAATGAAGGAAACATTGTCCAAATGGCGATGCACTTCCTACAATTGTGTGGGTCATCCGGCTACAGATTGGCCCGACAAAAGAGCGTATCAGTGCTACCTGTGTAAAGCGTGTCACTTTTTGGACAATACGACACGCTTATTTTTTCTTAGTGCTGATAACGAGTCGAAAATGAATTTCGTCAATCGACGGAAGTTCAACCTTCCGTCTGCGGGTCAATTAACCGTCGCCAATGCTGTTCGTACCAAAATAACCGTCACCAGTGCTGTTCGTATCAAAAATACGGATAAATTAACCGTTCCCAGTGCAGTTCGTCCCAAAAATACGGATAAATTAACCGTTCCCAGTGCAGTTCGTCCCAAAAATACGGTGGAGCATATGTTCAGTCTTAAAATGCCTAGCAAATTACGGACCAGGCAATAAGTCCAGCAGCTATCTCAATCAATCATCAGTTATGGAAAGATCGGGTTCCAAAGGCCGGATCCCTTGTGAATGGATCCCATGGGCCTATCCCATGGGCCTATTTCTTCAATGCCGACACTTCTATTCTATTCACTACCGATAAATCCACCACAGTTAGTTATCAAAAAGTCTGGTAAGCAGGGTTACCCACAAAGGGTCGAGGAAAGGGAGAAAAGATCTCGAGTGCTTACTTGAGAAGTCGAGAGTGAAACTGTGGCGTCCATACGACGAGGGAGACGAGAAGGCAAGAAAGGGTCGGAAGAGGGTCGAGAGACGGTCGGTACACGGTCGGCAGAGGGTCGCGGGAAAGTCGATACAGGGTCGGGAGAAGGTCGGTACAGGGTCGGGAGGAGGTCGCTACAGGGTCGGGAGGAGGTCGGTACACGGTCGGTAGAGGGTCAGGAGAAGGTCAGAGGAAGGTCGGTAGAGGGTCGGGAGAAGGTCGAGAGAAGGCCAAGGGAAGGTCGGTACAGGGTCGGTAGAGGGTACTAGTAAGAGATACATGCACGTAAGAACGAAAGAAAAATTTTAAATCAAACATAAAAATGACAAAAAACTGACGATATCAAATAAAAGCTATGAACGCATGAAAAGATGAATTATAAACAAAATAAAAGCGAAATTGAAATGATCAGAGAGATTATAAATATAAAAGATGTCAAGGAATGAAAATGAAATGCAAATTAAGAACAAAGAAGAAAATAAGAATAATAATTATAAAATTATAAGAAGTATGCAGGGCATTATCCGAGGCAAGACAGGTCGTAGCGACGTAAATTACGTTATGTGATGTGCGATAAAAATTAAATTAAAATAAATAAAATTAAAAATAATGTAACAGAAGCATAGGATGAGATTGAAAAAATGTCAAAGAAAATAAACGATGGAGTGGAAATTTCAGACAATCATAAGGATAACAAATGAATACAGAGGGGAAAAGAAAACAACTGTACAGAGAACAAGGGTTAGAGGAGATGAAGATGCAGAGTAGCCTCAGCAGCTCAGAGCGGAGGGCAGACCCCGTCAGAGTAGGAGCAGAGTTCGTCGCACTCTGGAGACCCAGAAAACACGTTAGACAAGAGCGACTCTGACAGCAAGCGACTCTGACAGCAAGCGACTCTGACAGCAGCGACTCTGACAGCAAGCGACTCTGACAACAAGCGACTCTGACAACAAGCAATTCTGACAGCAAGCGACTCTGACAGCGAGCGACTCTGACAGCAAGCGACTCTGACAGCAAGCGACTCTGACAGCAAGCGACTCTGACAGCAAGCGACTCTGACAGCAAGCGGCTCTGACAGCAAGCGACTCTGACAGCAAGCGACTCTGACAGCAA